TGTGTCGGGAGGCTTTGAAGATCGAGGCATAACACAAAAGACGCTATTCTTATTCAATGACATGTAAATGAGTGGCCGGGTATTCTGAACTTGCTCCGTTTTCACTAACTCCTTGAGTTGATGTTGCCAGAATAATGCTGCGAAATTTAAACTTTCCATTCTTATGAGTTGACCATAGTAAGCACAGTGAAATTTAAAAGTGAATAATCCATCGTAAAAAGCTTTTTAAAATTGCCCAGTTGTACGTAATGCACAGACAAGATGCAACGCAGTATTACGCCATCGAACACGTGGCTATTCGAGCTTGCAGTATTTGTTCAGCGAGTTTGTTTAAGTTGCAAGATCCACGAAGGGAGAAAGTGTCAAAGTCATATTTTGTGGGCTTGACTTTGGACTATTCTCGCAAGTGATCAGGATGAAGAATGTAGCCAGGAGGGTGGGGGTCTTGAGATGCCCCTGATTTCCCCCACCCCTCTCCCTTTGTGAGATAATTTACACAAATCCAGCGGGGAAAAGCTACTCCCAATACAATCTTATCATTTGGATTTGCAAAAACACCCAATTCCATAGAGTCTGCAGAGTGAAAATCTCTTACCTCTTCCACCACAAAATCACATCCATGACTGGCTATAAGGAAATTAAATGGTAGCATTAAAGGCACTTCACTACTGGTGTGCAGAAATTTGTATCTAAGAATCCCTTCCCCTTTGAAAAATCGTAGCTTTGCCTATTGTTAACTCTTTAAACCCTAAGAATGACCAGCATTTAACTTCTTCCGGTAGTAATGGTGCTGAATTATTCATTACATTAACTAGAATAAAGGAAATGATCAGCGATCTAAGAACCTTTGACTAGTAAATGAATTGTCCTGGTAAGTACCATAGGAAATGTAACTATAGATAAAAGTATGGGGAACAAAATACAGTGATGTTCGGGTGTTAAAGGGGTTAACAAATTCTAACTATTAAGACGAGTACTTTATACTGCACCTTTAACCAGCATCAAGACTTGTAAGAACTATGAAGATTTGAACTTCCTGATCAATACCAAACCCTGACATATTACTATGGATGAGAGAGACATCTTAACCCTGAAGTTCTTATACTAGAATATCTTAATTTGATTAGAAGAATCAGTCATAATAACACGACCCACTCTATCTACGGCAACTCCATATGGATTACAAAGGCTCTCTCTTGCACATTCTGCTATAAGGTGCCCATCCTCGCCTGAGAACACCAGAAGGCAATTTCTCATACTATCCGCCATCAAAATGTTGTCATTTGAATCGACAGTGATGGCTTCTGGAGCGAAAACTTTGCTAGATTTTGTGAAAGGAAGTGGAATGTGTCTCAGTGGTTTTCCATCCGTGCTCAGTACTTGAAGGGCGCCATCGTTCACCAGGGACACTACAATCTCTCCTAAAATGTAGAACGGAAGAAGATTGTATAGTGCTAAGGGTGCTTCAGTAAAACTGGTTTTTGCATAAGTATCTGGCATGATAGATCACGCGGTGGTTTCTTGCAGACAGGCCCTCATTAAAAAATATAGGATTGACGGAGAACAAAAAAGAATAGCATGTTGGGCTCAAACACTAAGAAAAAATGGCTGCACAGCTTTTCCTTCCCATCATTTTCCACATCCAGTTACTATATATCATTGGGAAGAGCAAAAGGCGTCGGGGAGAGTGTGCTTGTGAGTTCGTCTGCATGGTGTAAAAAAGGTAGAGCCCTATTCCCCGCCCTTTTGACCGCCAATTCAATGCTTCGTTTCGTCAGTCCACAACATTTTCGCGTTAGTGATGACGAATATCATTGTCGATGAGAGTACAGACCACGTTTGACCAGTTTCGACTTGTTTTTGTTATTGTTGTTGTTTTTTTTTTACCACAATATAGACGTTTCGTCAGTCCACAACATTTTCACCTTAGTGATGACGAATAACATTGTCGATGAGAGTACAGACCACGTTTGACCAGTTTCGATTTGTTTTTGCTATTGTTGTTGTTTCTTTTACCACAATATAGATGTCAAATAAAACGATTCTCTCAGTGACAAAGGCGTTGAGTGACACGTTGACGTGAGCAGCGCCTTCTGTACTCTTATCGACAAGGACCAATCAGATTGCGACATTACTGCCAATTGTGGTAAAAAGTCATATAAGGATAGGTTATAACTGAGGTTCCATTATTATAAAAGCAAAAACCCATCGTAGATCATATTGGCTCAACTTGTTATATAAAAATAAATTGCGATTATTTTCATACCTTTCCTGTTTATTGTAACCCCTTGGAGTTTGCTGGGGAGACCATCGTCTTCATCCAAACAGCCAACTTGAAAGTGTGACAAGTACTCCCCGCCACTGTCAAACACATAAATTTTCCTATTTTGGCCATCGGTGATATAAACTTGAAGTTCTTTTTGGCTAAAGACTATATTTGAGAGTTTGGCGCATTTTTCTTCTTCGTCTTCAGGAAGTCTCAATCTTTTCACAAACTTTCCCTTGGCGTCAAACATTTGCAAAGTTCTTCCGCTCCAATCAGAGACGAAAAACCTTCCGTCGTTGCTCACAGCCACACTCAAGGGACCGCCGGGGAATTCGCCATCCCCGCTTCCTTTGTTTCCAAAAGCGAACAGAAACTTCCCGGAGGAATCAAAAATTTGCACGCGGAAATTGTTCCTGTCACATACAACGATTCTGTTTTCCTTGTCCACTGTTACACCTCTTGCGCCCTTTAGTTTTCCCGCCTCTTCCCCAGGCCCTCCTATCAGCAGCTGTGGTTGGGTCATATTTTCGTAGTCCCTCATGGCGAAAGGTACATTGACTGTGAAAGGGCTTCCGTTCATTGAGTAGCTACGGATGCTTATATGAATAAGATGTTGTCCTGGCACCAAGGGAATGTAAGAAATGTTGTGTTTCCCGCTATTTTGCGAGGTGATTTCAACCTCGGTAAGAGCACCATCCGGGGACTCGATCTGAACACTCAAGTCGGAGGTCACGCATTCAATAGGTCTTCCTTTCCTATCCCTGAGTAAACATGGAGATTTTGAAATCATTGATGCGATAATGAACAACGCGAACCCTAATATTCCAACGTTGAAAGTTGTGAGAAAAGTAGCAAATATTCAAGACAACGATAGAGTAATTAGATTTTTGACTTAAGATCTACACCGACATCTCGTCCATTAAGATTTTGAAATCTAACTGTGGGGGGGAGGGGGGGTGAATTTCGGCTACAATAAAGTTTACGCGATCCCCCTTCTTAGGGCTCTGTCTTATTCCAATCGTCCTCTCCTCTCTCGTTGGCAGTTAGTTTTCCACTCTCCTCCCCCCCATCCTTTATACTCTGTTCGTGACGACTGATCCCCCTCCATTCCTCCTCACCATGCAACCCCCTCAAAATACTTCGAACTTTTCCCCGGTCGACGGAAAATGACCGGCTCCCTAGGAGGCCCTTTGGGGTTCTTTTAAAAGTCACCTAGAGCCCGTTTCTTAAGCCCTGGTAACTTAACGGGCCTGAAACCATATTTTAAAATCAAATTTAAGCGAGAGAAACTGAAGATTCTGGAACTCTGACCAGACCATTTTTTTTCTTTAACAGACAGTTTCTTGTATCGTTTTCAAAACCTTTGAAACCCCCATTTGGAATGAAATAAGAACAGATTCACGGGTCCGTTAAGTTACCGGGACCGAATTGAGGAACGAGCTCCGAGGCTCAAACCCAGACCTGCTCATCTAGAGATCAGTACAGTGATCGCTAAGGTGACCATTAGGCGTTTTTCATGAAAGAAAGTTGAAAAAGGAAAAAGCAGATGAATATGAGGACAACAAACCTGGTTATTACTGTGAAAAAAACGGTTTTGTTGACATTTGCCTCATGTAGACCAGGTCCTTCTGCTGTAGAAGTCGCAAAATAAGGGTAAGAGGTATCTATCGACCCGAATGACTCAATAGCTTGTTGTAACGCCACGTTTTCGGCAGAAAACTTGATCACGTGGTCCTCACGAGGTTGAAGTTCATAGCCCTGATTGGCAAGTGCCTCTAGTCTCTCGGACATAAGATCTTTGGCGGACAGCAAGTACACCGGATCACCTATAATAAATCAAAAAATAAAACAGTAGTGGGTGTATTTAATCTTGAACTTGCATTCGTTTAAATTAATTTTGCTTGCGCTGGGAGCATTCGCAGAATTCTTTTTATCCAAAACTGTCACTTTCCGAGTTTTCTAGACCAATAAAAATGCTTTGAGAAGCATAGCCTGTGTGTAGCCGTTCTCTACCCCCTAACCCCTAATTTCCGATTTTTTTAGAGGGGAGGGTTGGGGGTAGGTAGCGGTTGTACACTGGCTACGTAAAGCACAACCAATGCAATTCCATATTGCTTTCGACAGGTAAAGAAAAAGTGCTATAATCTGTCTTATGAAATTTCATTTAGTAATTACCTTCTTCGAGGACTCTCTTCACAA